GTTTTTGGGGCTCTTTGGCCATGTTCTGAAGGTTGTTCTTCCTAACGTTTCGCCAGTCTCTGTGGCCGGTATCTTCAGAGGACAGCACTTTGTGCTGTCCTCTGAAGATGCCGGCCACAGAGACAGGCGAAACATTAGGAAGAACAACCTTCAGAACATGGCCAAAGAGCCCCAAAAACCCACAACAACCATTAGATCCCGGCCGTGAAAGCCTTCGCGAATATAGTGACCTGCACTGTCAGATGGAAAAGCAGGAATGGCCCTCCAACATGGAGGTTCGACATCAATGTCCACCAAGTGAGTTGACTGGCTAACTCTGGTGTCACAGTCAATTTCATGGATGGGTGGTCTATCACTGGGTTGAATAGTGGCAAGTACCCCGATTGAAGCGATCTCACCTGCACTGTCAGATGGAAAAGCAGGAATGGCCGTCCAACATGGAGGTTCGACATCAATGTCCACCAAGTGAGTTGACTGGCTAACTCTGGTGTCACAGTCAATTTCATGGATGGGTGGTCTATCACTGGGTTGAATAGTGGCAAGTACCCCGATTGAAGCGATCTCATTTTGAGTCGGGGCATGCTGGATTACCGATGTTGTTGATGTCATGAGCCCAAGGAGGTGTTGAATATGATGGGCTGGAATGGATGTTTGAGATCGAAAGGGGCAAATTGCCTTCTTTAACCTTATAACTCGTTCCAGGGGGATTAAGGCCCTGGCTTTCATGAAGCCGAAGAGGGCTCAGGTGTAGGTGACTGTCGGTGCTGGTTCGAGATGAGATTTTGTATAGTTTACTTTGAGTCCGAGGTTCTGAAGTGTGTCGAGCATGATGGTTTTAGCTCTCATGGCATTGTGGTACGACGTCGCAACTATCAGCCAGTCGTCTATGGCTCTCCTGGAGGCAGAGATGCAATGCAACTGGTGCCATGCAGTTTGTGAAAGAACTCGGTGCCATGGAAAGTCCGAATGGTACGGAACAGAACTGGTACACGATATTGTCGAATTGGAATCTGAGAAATTTTTGATGAGATGGATGGATTGAAATATAGAAGTAAGTGTCCTGTAGCTCTATCACAACCATTCTCCCCTTTATCTGGAGTTTTCAAAAAGGCTGGTGTCGATGGGACTGATTTCGATTCCAAAAGGATGACGTTGATGGTGGTAGACCTTGAAAGGACCTGTTAACTAGTTTTGATCTGAACTGTCAATATGGCTGGAATCTCTGATATGATTGTCGAATTGCTTTTTTGCTCATGGTTGTCTCCCAAAGGTATTGAAATGATAGTGGATAGAATTGAGTCAGTCTGTATTGAGGCCGTTGGTATTGAAAGGATTGTTGGTTGGTGTATGATCTTGCTGTTTTCTGTATTTTAAAAAGATTTTCCATATTCTCATCTGTTTTCTGATTAAAGAGACTTGTGCTGTCGAAGGGAAGGTTTTCTATCCTTGAGTTGGGAGCAGTGTCAGTGGTGTGGTGGCAATGGAGATGGTGACTGAGGATATCTTTGTTGGTAAGGTAGTGCATATCACTTTGGTCCTTGATAATATAAATGACCTTCGTGTGCTTCCATGTGATATGGATCGCAATACGGGAAACCTTCCTCCACGTCAAAATGATGGTGTGACATTTGCCCTCATGGCCCCTGTTTGTTACCCAAACACAGAGCTCACAAGGTACCTCAGCACACCCTCTGATACACTGCCACCAGGTGATCTTATTTATCAACGTAGCTTACTTAAAAAAGACGAAGGTCCATCCAGTACTGATGTTTCAACCGAACTAGTTTATTAATTACAGATGGTTTCTGGAATAATTCATAAGCACACAGATGGTACTGTGGGAAATTGGTATACTGGTAGTACTCTCCGTACGGAGGCATATCTCGAGGAGGATAAATATGCTTCCATTTCTCCTGATGTTTTCGGGGAGAGTTTTGATGAGAGTCCGATCCTGAAAGTTAGATTTCAATCACCTACCCTGATGCAGGGCTACGATGGGCCGAGGCCTGGCTGGATGGTGCATCAGCCATTGAGAGGCCAGTGTAGGGAGATAGGCTACCAGTTGACACTGGAGCATGAGCCAGTGGTAAATGATGGTTCCTTTCACCTTTTTTGCTCATGGTTGTCTCCCAAAGGTGAGATAGGAGCCTTTGGAGCCTTTGCTTAGGTGCTGGCTTGCTCAGTTTTTTACATGCCGCACAAGAATGGGTTGGGTGTTACTCGCCCAAGCAGAATAAACAGCATTTGTGGCCATCAGAGATAATGGGATCTTATTTGAACAGCTGACACACCTTTTAAATAATGTGTTGAGGCCATAAAGAGCGGGAAACAGAGGGAGAGGCGGTTAAAGAGATGGGGGGAGGGGCAGGAAGCCAAAAGCAGGAAAGGCAAAGAAACAAAACTAACTGACAGGGGAACATCGATTAGTTGATTGGAAAATAGAAAGCTATCAATTTAAGTGATTAGAAGAGGAACTACTAATATAGTTGCTAAAAATTGTTCAGAAACATGCTCTATTCTTCTGGAGATCCGATCAGCACGGCGGAAAAAAGGAACTGAGGGGAATCTTAGCTGGGTGGAGCATGTGCTCCACAGGGGAACGTCCCACTAACTTTGTACTTTTAAACTCTAGAATCTTCCAAGACATTCAGCGCAGGCACAGAACAATCCATTTGTGTGCATTCACAGAGACCACGAAGAAGAACTGGAAATAATTTGTTAATTTTAATTTGCTCAATTTTAATTCGTTCAATTTTAATTCATTTGTTTTTTTAATGGACTAATTGTCAGTAAATTAACATTCTAACTTATTTATTTATTTATTTGATTTATATCCTGCCCATCTGATCTGGTCAACCACTCTGGGCGGCTTATTTTAAAAATTAAAACTTATTTTAACAATTTCACTGTAACATTAACAAGGTTTTCTCTCACTGAACTTCACTAATCATTGATGTGCTCCCTGCCTAAGTACCCACAAGATGAGGAGTTTTCCCTTTATTTTTAATGGTTTGTTTAACATTCTTGATCCTCTGGTTTCTCACTGATAGTATATGGGGCCTGTGTGAGTGTGGCTCATTCCACTCCAATTTAAAAATACAACGAGCATTTGGGACTGAAAACCTACTGTGCTAGAGGAAAATTGTACTTGTGTTTAAATTGTACTTGTTTAAATTGTACTTGTGATTTGATTTGGACTATAATGCCTAAAACCTGTTGTGTAATTACACTGGTAAAAGAGCAATGCGTAACAATAGCAAACTACTCCCCATTAACAAATCACTGCTTGGACACCTGCTTGCATGCCAAGCCACCTTTCTAGTGTGCAATAAGGAATCAAAGCATTGACTCAATTAGCAGTAATTTACCAGTGCAAGGATTTTGGTCAAGATCTCATCACGCAAGACCTACATGTAAACTATATATTTAAGAACTCTGAGAACTCTTCTTTTCACTGCCATATTTAGAAATAGCTGCCTGTTGTTTTCTGAACATTCCTGCGTGTTATTCACATTACATTTTAAAGGAATTAAAACATTTCTACCTGCTTACTACAGAATAAAGTACTGATCCATAATTAATTCTTTTAGAGACAGTGGATATATAATTATTCTGAAGGAAGATAGAATCCATGTCCCTGTCCCAGCCTATGTCACTTAAATGACAATTTGTGGAAGTGCAGCACAATAATATGCAGGCCTATTTAGAAGCAATCCCATTGAGTTAAATGGAGCTTAGCTCTAGGTAAGTAGATAGAGGATTGCAGCCCTCTTTTTCTTATAAGCCATTTTTTCCAGATGATACAGCAAGAAATGAAATGTTCACTTTAGATAGCTCCCAGCAAACTGAGCCTTTCTGGTACAATCAGATGCAATCCTTTCTTGCCTGATCACACCCTGAGATAACACTTCATACAGCTGATAAAATGGGTGGTGTCTGTTTAAGCTTATGCATAACATGTGCCAGTTTTTAAAGGCATGATAGCCTCCTGTTGCAGGAGGCTATCATAGATACCTATTTGAAAATGTTACCTGCTGTGACAGCTGTTTGCTGGAAATATGATAAAGATTTACTATCTTCCCTGCATTTAATTTTGCTGATTTGAAACCTTCTGAAAACAGCATTATTTCGGCAATGAGTTCATAGTCTGGTACCATCATTGAGACAGGACGAAATAATGATTTTAAGTTGTCTGGGAGTTCTACACGACCTTTGTAACTTAAAAGAAAAGGGAAAGTAATTAGTAAAAAATCCATTAAAAATAAAAAAAATGACTTCTAACAAAGGTAGAGTATTGCATATGCAGTCACTGCAGTAGCCCTACAGTCATTGGTAGTCCTTGATCTCAACACACAGGACCTCATCCTACTACTGCAGAATTATCACTTCCTATTCAGGCTTACAATATAGTTCTGTGAAATTATCTTGTGAATTATGACAATTACAAACCTACAGTACTAGAAAATGAATGGAAGCTTAATTTGTTATTTTGTTGTTTGTCTATTTATTGTAAACCGCCCAGAGTGGCTCTGGCTGCCAGATGGGTGGTTGCTAAACAAACAAACAAACAAACAAACAAACAAACAAACAAACAAACAAACAAACAAACAATAAATAAATAAATAAATAACAATTAATTGCAACAGAAAATGTAACTGTCTTTCTAGAAATAACAGTCTCTAAAGAAAAATATCAGATATCTGATTAAACAGATGGGGCTCGTTAGCCTTGGAAGGCAGTCTATCTAGGAGAAAGAAAACTCCGATTTCAAACCTCCACTGCCTTGTGGCTATATCCACTGATGGAAAAGGCTTCAGGAGTTAACCTCAAGGCAAAATCTGGAGCCGGAGTCCTGGAGGCAGCTTGTGACGTCACTGGAACTAGTTGTATTGGCTCTTGCCTTTCCACTTGTGACGTCGCTGGAACTAGTTGTATTGGCTCTTGCCTTTCCATTGGACTATTTCAGTGACATGGAGAGGGGGGATTTTCTGCTTGGGTCTACCCTCCATATAATTTTACCCAGGTTTCATGCTCTGGAGAGGACACTCCAGCTTCACATACAGTGTCAAAATAACATGGGAAGCAGCAGTTACTAGCTACCGCTCTCGCCACAGTCTGTGTAGAGCATTATGCCAGGGGCTACTTCCAACAGTTGGAGAGGTCATTGCATCTCACTAGGTAGCTACCGCTTGCCTTAAGCTCAGCAACCCCCCAGCCAGTAAGGTGCTGCCTCGCCACAGTCTGTTAACTTCACAGGGTACGTGGGGTTTAGGGTGAACACTTATCCAGCAGACCGAGGCAAAGAGGCAGTCCCAAACCCAGCAAAATCAGGGAGCTGGACAGGGGACAGATTGTATTTATCTTCAGTGTGGAAGGGATTGTCACTCAGCCACACTAGACGCTGTTCCAAGACCTCTATTCAAAGCACGTTACCATAGTCTCTCGAGACTGAAGGTTGCCTACTACTACAGAATTGAGCTCTAGCTCTTCATGGGGATATAAATCATCTCGCAGTTGAAAATGAAAAATTTCCAAGGTCTTATTTCTACTACGCAAGATCATAAGAGTTTGGGAACTTTTTTCTTTTCTTTTCTTTCTTTCATTTCCTTTTTCCTTTGCATTTTGGGACTTCTAAAATGAAAAATGCACAAAAATGTTTACACAAAGCCTTGTACAGTGGTGCACCGCATAGGAACGATAATCCATTCCGGAAAAATCGTTGCTATGTGGAATCGTCGCTATACAGAACAAAAAAGCCCATAGGAATGCATTAAAACACGTTTAATGCGTTCCTTGGGGCAAAAAACTCCCCGTTATGCAAAAATCCTCCATACGGCCGCCATTTTCGCTGCCCGGTAAGCGAGGAATGGGCGCAAAAACACAGCAGGCGGCTATTTTTTTACCCGGTGTCCATTTTGGAACCGCCGATCAGCTGTTCTAAAAACATCGCTATGCGAAAATCGGTAAGCGAAACAGCTTACCGATCATCGCAAAGCGATGTTTTACCATTTAAAACATCATTATGCGATCACAAAAGCGATCGCAAAAACTTAATCGCTATGTGGATTCGTCGTTAAACAGGGCACCCATTATGCGGGGCACCACTGTATTTTCTTGTTACCTAAATACAGAGCTAAAGGGCAACCATGTTAGTATTTTTTTGCTTTGGCAGACATTTCACAACCCTGTTCTCATACTGCATCTGAGATTGGTTATGGAACTGGTTGCGTGATAGGAGAGCTGATCTATGATTGCCTTTCCAGTCTATATTTAGGCAATAGAGTACCCACCAAGGTTTTCTGAGCAGAAAAAATTGTTAATGCTGCTCCTGTCAAAAATAAAGTCCTGTTTTTATGGAAGAGCAAGCAGTCTTGAGGAAGAAGACAGTTGTTTCAAGAGGTTGTCTCAATGGCCTGAATTATGTTGGCAAGATCCATCCATACAGATAGTGTTGATGACTTCATTAATCATGACATTTTATCTTTAATTAGAAATGCATTCCCTCCTCAGGTTCTGAGGCTCCCTGGAAATGCCTTTTGACCCGAGGAAGCTTTTGGGAGGCTAGGATGGAAGGAAGCTTTTAACGTCTGAAAATAGCTATTTCCTCTCCCAAATCTCAACTTCCTCAGGTCAAAAGGGATCCCTACGTACAACTAATACCTGAAGGGGAGAGTTGAATACTTTTATATTTAATAATGCTAATGCCAAATCAGCCGTCAAACAAAGGATCTGGGACATAAAACTTCAAGAACATTTAGGTTCACTGGACAAATCCAATGTTGTAAAAAAGAAGAACTTTATATTTCCCACCTATATGGCTAGTATAACATCACCTAAATCTAAAAAAGCTTTTATCTTAGCCAGATATAATGTATTGCTTTCTAATCTCTTGGAAGGGAGATTTCAGGGCATACCCTATTCTGATTGTTTATGTCCTTGTGATGGTGGTGAAGTAGTAAGAGTGGGGCATGTTATCTTATACTGTCATTGCTATTGAGATCTCCATAAGGAACTTCTCTCCCCTATTTTTCAAAAATTCCCGGGGAGATCCAATGAATTTTATATTCTAAGGCTTCTTACATTACTAGTAAAGTGGTCTAAGTCTGAGCTGCCATAATAGCTTGCCACAGTCTCCTGACCACATAATGCTTTTGAGTTCCCCCGCCCTTATTAGAGATGTCTTGTTTAACTTACTTTCTAGAAGAGTTGGGGTGGCATATTGATGGTTTTATGTGTCTCTTAATTTCATCATATATCATGTAACTGCTGTGATGTTTTAAAGGCTTTGATATCCCTCAATGCCACTGGCTAATGTAGAACTTTTTTTTAACTTTAAGGTCGTAAAAGAGCCAGACGCTGCATTGATAGTGACATGTCTTCACCACATCTCTGATATTATGTGATTTTATTTAAACAATGTATTTTTATCTTCTTGGTCACTGACAGTACTAAATTATTATTACTATTTGTTTTTAATTACATTTTCCAAAAAGAGAGCATCATCAGCCTTGTGCACACAAAGCAGGCCAGCAGAATTGCTATCAAGACATACCTTTTCATTGTGGATCAGAATATTTGTGAGTATTCATTATATTCTTAGATCAATAGTAGAGTATGTGCTTTTCATGAAGAACCCAGGTTCTATAAAGTGTCAACAAGTAGATCTGTAAAATTCCCTCATCCAACCCCATTTGAAACTCTGGAAAGCAATATACTATTAGTAATGCTTAGCTAGATGGAACATTGGCTTGTAAGGCTGTTATTATTACTGAGAGATCTTGTAATTATATAGAGGAATGGAAGCTATGTCATCACTCACCCAGGATTCATGGTAATAAAGATTGCACAGAATGGTTTCAGACGGATTTCTTTTCCTTCCAGTACAAATCTGCAGCAAATATTAATTATTTTTAAAATAGGTTTTTTTTCCCAGAAAATTTAAAGGTTTGTGTTAAAGCTATTGTCTTGTCCTGACCTATTTTTGTGAATTTCTTGCCTACGTATATCTTAATTTAACTTTGTTAATCTCAAAATCAAATTTTATAAAAACCATTATTATGCAATAAAAATGAAGAGCTACTTGAAATATAATTTAAAACAAATTACCAAAAACCCAAAAATACTAAATAGATTTTTAAAAAGGCGTAAAATGCAGTAGTCTTTAAGATACAACTAGGAAGCAGAGCACATTTTTAAATAAAAAGGTCTGTGCAGATGCAAGAGATCTTTGCATAGTTCACATGTTATTGTGTGAATGTGTGCAGACACAGACACACCCGCAAGTAGTCACCAAACTGTCTTTTCTGGGGAGCACTCTCCAGAATGGTGAGGAGTGAAAAGCCCTAGTCATGTATAGCTACCTGATGTTTTTAACTAAGCAGCAATACTTGGAGGGCTTTGATTAAGAAACACTTCTTCAAATACTAAGCCATGAAGATTAGAACTAGTTATTTCATACGGCCCTTGAAAAGATCAAAGAACTGGTAAAGATTATACAATGCTAACATAATATGATTGTTGTAAAGCCAGATTCAAGTCAGTTCTTTTGCTGTGATATTTTGTACTAAAGTTTTAGAAGTAGCTCTTAGTTCTAAAGGCAGCCCCATGTAAAGTCCACTGCAGTAATCTAAATGGGCATCACTTGATGGCAGGTTATTTCAATCAATGTTGTGATGAGGTCCGAGTACCAGCCCAAGTTGTTAAATTTTGCACTGTGCCACAGAACACTCCTGTGCATCTAATTACAGAAACTAATTCATAAGCATTCCACCACTATGAATCTGATGAATTAATCCTTTATGGTGAACAAGCTGAACCCCACTACGAGATGGATGATCTGTCAATCTATAGAAGAAGAAGGGTTTCCTAAATACAGCGTACTTAGAAATGGCTTACTGTTCCCTGCTTCTCATGATGCCCTGGAACTACACAGCTTGTTTAAAGCTACACAGCTTGGCTCTTATTCTGGGATGCAAGAGTGGGGAAACAAACTCCAAATCGTTGGCTTTGCAGCCAGATACCTAACTCACTGAGCTGTCCATCTAACATTAACCAATTATATACACTCACATAAATTATTTTTATATTGCGGCTCAATGGAGAGAGGAAATATATATTCTTTCAAAAAAAATGAAATGGCATAATTACATTGATGTATATAGAATATAGAGAATTTACAGCAGACTGTGTTCTTGCTTTTCTAATAGTGCAGAAGCTTCCAAATTACCCCAGCAATTGACTTCTTGGTTACTGATCTTTTTAATAAGGAGGAGGAGGAAAAGACAGTAAAGTTGCATACCCAATCCAATCGTCTGCTGTCAAATCAATTTTGATTTATAGTTACCGTATATTTCCATTTATAAGATGACCTGATGTATAAGACCTTTTCTAACCCCAAATTTGAAAATTTGATCCCTGCTTTTCCCTTCCTTTTGCTAAACTCCGTGGCTTAGCAAAAGGAAGGGAAAAACAGGAATAAAAGGGCTGCACAATCCCTTTGACCGCTGCTTTTCCCTCCCTTTTGCTAAGCCATGGGGCTTAGCAAAAGGAAGGAAATAGTAGGGATCAAAGGGCTGCAAGATCACTGAGCGCGCAACCAGCAGTGGAGGCAGCAGCAGCAGGAGGCAGAGATTGAGGCAAAGAAGCAGCCGGGCTTGGTTGCCTCTCACTGCTGCCCATTGACCACTGTCGCTGCCACCCAATCACAAGGAGATGACTGCTCAATTTTTTCTAATTATTTTAGGGAAAAGTGTCATTTTATACACGGAAAAATACAGTATCCTTTTCAGGGCTTTCCAGACGGAGGATACTCAGAAGTGGTTTACCATTCCCTTCTCCTGGGACTATGCAACTTGCCCAAGGCCACACAGGATGGCCCTATTCACAGGAGGCACAGTGAAGAATCAAATTCCCATCCTGTGGCTCTGCAGCCACATACCTAACTCATGGAGGTATTCAGCAAGCAAATGTTGCATTGATCTTCATGTAATAACTAGTTTGGCTATATATTGTTTGCAAAAGTTCTGAATAATTTAATATGAATACTGTACCTCACTGTGAGACTGTCTTTAGCTGCTTTGATTGCCTGAATCTGTGAAGCAATTGCAGAAAGGACTTCTAGATCAATCCTGTTGAATTCATCAAAACAACACCATGCTCCAGACTGAACCAGTCCACAGAACATTTTCCCCATCACCTTAAATATAAACAGATAGATATATTTTTATTACGTACTCAGGTACAAAATTATGACCTATCTATGAAACACACTAGTCATTTTGAAAAAACAGGCAGAAGGAAACAGATTTCTCAAAGGATCTGATACATTCCTCAAATATATAAAAAAAGGGTACTTATCTGTAACCATAGTTCCTTGAGTGGTCCTCTGTGAATCCACACAAATGGGTTAGACTGCACCTGCACAGGACTCCTCGGAATCTTCTAGAGCTTAAAAATGTGATTAGTAGGATATTTCCCCATGGTGTGCATGCTCTCCCCACCCATAATACCTCAGTTCCAAAATGTCCACTGCTGTCAAGGCTCTAAAAGCAACAAAGTTCAAGAACCAACATGACGGACAGCAGGGAGGATGGGAAGGATGTGTGGATTCACAGAGGACCACTCAAAGAACTATGTTTACAGGTAAGTAACCTCTCTTCTTCATGGCCTCTGAGAATGCACACAAATGAGTGACTTGCAAGCTCACTTACTGGAAGGAGGGCTGTCACGCCAACACTGAAGTCAGCACAGCCCTTCCAAAACTTGCTTCCTTTTTGGCCCTGACGTCCAGATGGTAGTGCATCAGAAAAGTCGATGGTGTAGACCATGTGGCCACTTGACGAATGTCAGGGACCTCAATGGCACATGACCAGGCAGTCAAAGTAGCCACAGTTCTCGTGGAGTGTGCCTTCAATGCCTCTGGTGGCACCTTGACAGCCAGTTCATAGGCCAAGGTTGTTGGGATCACGAAATGAGAAGGCTCATGGGCTTTGTGATGATCACCAGATAATTAGGACAGCAAATAGTCTCTTAGAGATAGAAGTTAAAGAAGTAAGCCACACAGAGGGATGTCTGCCAGTAGTGCTCCTGGTGGGTGACTAGTAGAAGAGGCAGAATAACACCGAATGGGTTCCCAATGAATTCTGCCGTGCCCCCAGGAAGACTGTGCTTTTATTATCCTTACAAGCTCACAGATAGTGGACAGCATACAGATAGGTTCCAGAGTTCATATAGGACAATGGTTACATCATGTCATTATGATCAGCCTAAGGAAACTTATGCAAGCTCTCTAACACCTATGAGAAAGAAGAAGAATGGTGAGCAGTCATGCCTCTCAGAAGCAGCTGTGACATCATCCAGGAGGGATTGCCCTCTACTGTAGATTAAGTCAACAGTTTAGCAACCTTGGGAATGGCACCCACACACAAGGTGATAGTAGAAACGATCCACCTGGAAGCCGTCTATGGAGAGGCCGGAACACCTTTTTGTGGGCCATGGAAGCAGACAAATAGTTTAGGAGAAGTTTTGGAAATGTAAAAAGGCAAGGCACGACGAACATCTAAGGAATAGAGAATGCGCTCAATATCAGAAGAAGGATTAGGAAACAACTTTGGGAGAATTAGTGGTTGATTAATGTGGAAACTCAAAATCACTTTAGGGACAAAAGACACATCAGGATATAAGACAACCTTGTCTGAGTGAAACTGTATATAAGGGGCATCAGCCCAAAGGGCAGTCAACTAGCTCTCTGTGCAGAAGTAATAGCTTCACGAAAAAAAGTTTTAATCTAAAGAAGTTTAGGATGAGTAGAAGTCATGGGCTCGAAAGGTGGGCAAGCAAGAGCTCATAAAACAACCTGCAGAGACCATTGAGGGAGTGGAAGCCGGACATGGGTGAATGTTACGCAAACCCCTAAGGAATCCCTTTCAAGTTGGGTGTGAAAATAAGTGGGAAGCTTCTGAACCCACAGGCTGGTATGAAACAATAGTGGAAATATAAACTTTTAACGTTGAGTGGGCCAGACCTCGATCAAACAGATAATGGATGAAAGTGAGAAGAGTATCCAGCTAAACTGGAACAGCCAAAAGACCTCTGGAAGCAGTAAATTTGGTGAAAATAGACCATTTATAAGAGTATAGCAATTTTGTAGGTTTTCTAACTCTGTCCAAGTCTTCTTTTACACTGGGAGAATCCTCCACACCATCAGGTGAAGTGACTCCAGATCGGGATGACAGATCTTGCCTCTGTCCTGAGTTAGGAGGAATGTATGGAGAGGCAGTCTTAGAAACTCAGAACTGATAGTTCTGAGGGTGGTGAAGTCATCTTCGATGGCGGAGGGTCAAGCTGATAATAAGCTCAATGTCGACACCGAGGAGGAGAGGGCGATGGGGAAGAAGAAGAGGCATAGACGTAACACACTCTTTTGGACCTTACATAATCGTTGGCAACATAATAGGGATTGAGGTAGAGGTCGTCCCCATGGTATCGACGTCAAACACCCCTTCGATCGGCCTCTACATATAAAGGCTCCTCATAATCTGAGAATGCCCGGCGTTGAGATGGACGAGGAAGAACCACAACTAAAACTTCTTATAAGGGGTTGGGGGTTTGGCAAAAAAAATTATAGGAGTTATAGACCAATTGTATTCAGATAATACTTCAGAAGTAATAGTTAATGATGGTTTAACAGAATGGATTTTTCTAGGCTGAGGTACGAGACAAGGCTGTCCACTTTCACCAATATTGTTTTGTATGGTTATAGAATTGCTAGCTAATGCAATAAGAAATGATGAATTAATTAAGGGATTAGGAAAAAGTGATAAAATTAAGATTAATTTATTTGTTGATGATTCATTATTGACTATTAAAAACCTATTAGAGTGTATGGACAATATTAAAAAGCACTTAAAAAAATTTAGGGAAATAACACGATTAATTATTATTGGCAAAAACACAAATAATGATGTTTAATCATAATAAACAGGAACAAGAAATGTTTATGAATAAATATAGTTTTAAAATGTCTAATCATATTAAATATTTAGGTATGAATATAGTTAAAATGACTCAAAAATTGAAGGAGAAAAATTTTAATAAACTAAAAAGTGATATTAAAGATAAATTGCAAGAGTACTCTAAATTGAAATTATCGTGGTTTGGGAGAATCGCTATGATAATACAATTAGAAGAAGAAGATTTTAAGTATTGGCAGGGATTAATTAATGGATATTGTAATCAAGGTAAAAAAATCTAGAATAAATAAAAGATATTGGTATAAGGCCCCCTCAAAAGGACGTTTAGGTATGCCTAATGTAAAAAATTACTATATAGCAAATCAATTAAGATTTATTAGGGAGATTATATACAAAAAGAAAAATGGGATATGGAATCCTCAGAAATAAATGGGAATGTTGAAAAATACTTGTTTAATGTAGTAAAAAGAAATACAGTAAATCAGACGAAAACTCCCTTTTTAAGAAATATGTTAAATATATGGGATATAGAGAGAAGCTATGTCTCTCAACTTCACCATTAAAATTAGTGACTGAAATAGAAAATTTCCCTACAAATCTAAAGGGTTTAGTAGATTTGTTTAAGGATAAAAGTGTTGCAAGATTGAAGGATATGAGATTGAAGGAGTTGATTATGGTTAAACCTCATACTAATAAACTATCATAGTATATTCAGTTAGACACTTGGACAAATGATTGGTTGAAAACGAATGGTAAATGCAGAGAATGTACTAAGTACGAACAATTTCTATCATCACATGAAGATATACAGAAAGATGCTTTGATGAAGGGAGTAGTAAGTAGAATATATAATATAATTTCGGAACAAAAGGAAAAAGAGAGGGGAACAGAAGGTTTGAAATTAATTTGGGAAAATGATTTAAAGACAGAAATTAAAATAGAGGATTGGGTAAAAATGTGGAGGATAAGAGTTTTAAGGTTAATGTCGATAAGAAATTGAAATTGAATATAATAAATTCAGATTACTCTAAAGCTTGTTGGAAATGTAATGAAGAAAGTGGCACTTATTATCATATGTGGTGGGATTGTAAATTGGTTAAGAAATTTTGGAAACTGATTTTTAAGGAAATATGTGATGTATTTGGTAAAGATATTGAATTTAACTCTAAAATTACTTTGTTGTCACATTTTGATAAGATATATCTTAATTATTATTCAAAGGAATTGATTTCTAACTTTATGACAAGTGCTAGAATATTAATATCTAGATTTTAAAAAGACAAAAATGATATTAGATTAGAAGATTGGTATGGTGAAGTATGGGACATTGCATTAAATGATAAATTGACTATTGAACTCAAGATGAAAAGAGAGGAAATAAGTTACAATATTTTTATGCTATTTGGGGTAGATTTGTTGAATTTGTATTAACGAAAGGAAAGGGGAAAGCTTCTAAACAATAATCTATACAATTTTGGAAAGGAAGTTCGTATTAAAAGTATTGTTAAATGGGGTCCCGTGGGTATGGGGTGCACGGTAGAATTTAGTGTATAGTAAAGACTATTATTTGTATTTTTGTATTTGTTTTTCTGCTTAAAGAATAAAAATATAAACTAAAAAAAGAGACCAACGAGGAAGAAGTATAACCTCCCGATGCTGAGACTGTCAGGCTGGAGAGATGTGCTGACATTTAGCCAGCTGTTTACTTGGAGGAGACTGCTGTGGCGACACCTCCGAGTTTGACAGTTGAATTACTGTTGCCCGCCCAATTGACATAGGGCTCGAATGGGCCTAAGCCAGGCTGGAGATCACATCAGCCTCAAAATGGCCATAAGTGGGAGATAGGCTTGGTATCGATACCGAAGCCTGAGCCTGTGGTGGAGGTACAGAATCGCTTGCTTCAGAAAGAGAGTCTGGTAGCTCTCTGGACGATTCCTCAAATATTGGTGATGGAAGAGAAACTCGAACTGAAGGGATCTCCCGAGGATGAGTAGATTTAGCAGATTATTTAGGCTTTTTCTGCTTAACCACCTCTTTCTTTTTCTTAGGATCCTTTACTGCAGGCGATTTTGGTATCGAGCTTGACATCAATGCCAAAGACTTTTTCAGTTTAGGTGCTTCTGAAGAAGCCCTTGGAGAAGGGATGGCGGCAGCAGGCTCAGGACGAGGAGTATGAGGAGCAGGAGTCAAGGTAGGCTCCATGTCTGCCGGCCTTGAGGGTGTTAAAGACTTCTCCCACAAGTATGAATGAAGCCACTGTAAGCGGAGCTTAAGGACAGGCTTGGTCAACTTCTTACACTCCGGATAGGTGTGGGTCTGGTGCCTCTCCCCTAAACAAAATAAGCAGTGGTCGTAGCCATCCGTGAAGGGAATCTTATTAGCACACGATGTACAGCGTTTAAAGGGACCTGACAAGGCCATAAAAATTAGTGGGAACAGAAGGGGGGAGGGGAAAAAAGAGAAGAACTCACAGGAAAACATCAATGATCGCTAGTCCAAGTCAAAAGCCGAAATAGATTAAAAGCCAAAAATCACAATAAAGTCCATAAGCCAAATAAGAAACGGTAATCAGTCCAAAGGTCAGTAATCCTGAAATCACAAAAAGGTAGTCAATCCAAATCTGGCAATCGTAATCATAAACAAAACCGGTTGAAAGGGCAAAGTACTCCAGAAACACAAATGGTAGTCAGGAAGCCAGAACAGAATCAAAAAACTGAAATAGGCAATTCAAAACAACTCTAGACATTGCAAAAGAGTCTGATCTCAGCGGCAGCAAGAAGGAACTGAGCTATTACAGGCAGGCGGAGCATGTGCACCATGGGGAAACGTCCTACTAATCACATGTTTTTAAGCTCTAGAAGATTCTGAGGAGTCCTGCGCAGGCGCAGTCTAAACCCATTTGTGTGCATTCATAGAGGCCACAAAGAGGCTACCCTGAGTTTTTGATAATCAGTTTCTAAATCAGTTTCAGTATGGCTAACCTACTTCTGCCAGGAGAATAAAGAATAGACCAGTACACTTTAATCCACTGAAATCAATACATCTAACTAGCATGTACATTTAAAAACTTCAGGCTGCAATCTTACGTACAGTATAGTTAGTGTACAACTGCAATATAGTTCCTCCTGTGCTTTTTGCTGGAATTGGCATGGTTTATTCTATGTATTTTTCATCAACTACATGACGTACAGCAAATAATGAGTAAGCCTGGTCTTTTTTCATGAGCATTAGCTGCTTTTTGTTCAGCTGGCAAGACCTAGTGTTCTTTGGTTGTGATTCTCACTGCATTGTTTTTCCCCTCAGTTTCTGACATTTGTGATCAACTAATATCTGTCCAAAGGGGCAGTGGTGCTATGCCCTAAGATGACCTTGACAGTGAAGCATCTTTTTTTTAAATAAAAATGGTAGCAACTGACATAGGCTGAGCTGATATAACAACTTCAAAATTATAGTGCTTATTGTGATATATTAGAAAAGCACAAGGGACACTCACTTAAGAGAGATATTCCTACTGTACTAGAATACCACACCCCACTGAAGGATATGCCAGTACAGTGGGAACATCCCCCCTAGTGAGCACCTCTTGTCTCTCCTTTGAATTATTTTTTAATTATCTTCTTCTAGTATAGCAATCTCAGCAGTTTCACAAGTTGTCATCAGATTGCAAACAATCTACACCAAACTACATGTTGTGTGATCTATACTGCCAATATTACTGTGAAAATGAAATAGGGCATTTAATGCCTTGATCTATGAAACTTATTGTGGTCTTGTGCAAAAATGGATGGCACAGACCACACTCTGCCACCAACACAAATACAAACAACTGAACAAAAACATTAAAACAACCATGAAAATGCTCTAGAGATGGTCTGCCAGGAAACGGGGTGGGGGATGGGGCTTATAGGAGAACCCCCAAATGGCACTGGTTTGAAAGCAGAGTTGCTATGGAGATTGTTGGGGTGCTGCTTTCCTGTAGTCATTAGCTGCCCAGGCACAGCTGCAATTAGTATTCAGAAATCAACCAAATTTTCTGAATAACTGCTAGAGATGTTAATTTACATTTTTAAAAGAATTTAATTAATTAAGCTTTTATATCATATATTAATATATTTATGTACCATACCTTGTCATCTAAACCTTCAGAACAGTTAAATGATAAGCAGAGTTTTCCCAAGTTCTAAAGAAAAGGGAAACACTGCTTTAGTATATACATATGTAGTAATCAGACGATTTAGTAATATGTTAATTGGTCATATTCCTTCAAAGAACAATTACTAAAAAATGAATTTGAGTATCACATTTCCCCAAGTAATTAGCTGACTATAGAGATTCATTTGCATATTAGAATAAGAAATTATAAAACAAAGAGAATAAAGTCGGAGAGAGGAACTAGATTGCCATCTCTAAACCTTTGGCAATAGCTCTGCACTTCAGCCCAGAGATAAAGGGAATTAAAATAGAGGCAGTCTTGGAACTATTATTTTAACTTAGAAGATACAGACAAGGGGCAAAATTAAATATCAATAGTACAAAACTGTAAATTTTATGTTTTAATCTTAATTGAAAAGTCCAGCAAAGAATAGTAGTGGAATCTGAATCCAAATCCATTAATTAACTAGGCATCAACATTTCAAAAAGTTTGACAAAATTAAAAAATAAATAAATCATAATATGTAAAAAGAAACCAAGACCTTTTGGCATTGTGAAAAGATTCATTTCCTTGTCTTGAAAGGAATGTAACATTTAAAAAGTAATATACTGAATGTCCATTAGAGGTCACTACAGAGTAATTAATGAAGATGTTTCTAATAATCCCCTGTATTTCTATAACTCAGCAGAGACTTGTTTCTCTGTGGGGTTTGCTTGCAACATGAAGGGCAATGTTAAATAAACAGAAGTTCCTAACAAGGCAGACTGTGAGAAAATCCACTGCTACGTTATGAAATGAATAACATAAGAGAATTTATTGGCACTATCCTTATCAACCGGTTCTCTGCTGCTGAAGTCTAAGATTTTGCATTAGCCAGCTACTAATAAAGTCTGCAAAGATAGCAAATGGATGTAAATAAATAAAGGTAAGCGAAACATCCCTATGAATAGACCAGTGTAAAGTAAACTTGAGCAGGAGAGGAAATCCACAGGAAGATATTCCACTTGGGTATGCATAACTGTTTAAAATGAATAAGATTGTTTATCTTCTTATGCTCTAGTCTAGACTTCAAAATAACTGTATTTTTAAAGCTATTCATTTTAAAGATATATTCCATAGATGTATCAAGTCCTTAGGATGTCATTTATTCAGACGTTTCTATTTCATTATTAAGATTTCTATATTTGTTACATATATTTTTATAGAAAAGTTATTAATCCTGCTTTCAAATTCAACACAAAAGAAGAAGAAAATAATTCTTCTGGACATTTTGTGTGATGCCTGGGCAAAATATTTAAAGGATATCCAGAGGAAGAAAGTTATTTGTGTATAACAAGTCTTCTGGTTAATACTGCATACAAAACCCAATACATAGGGATTGTTAGCTGTGACAGATTTCCCAGGCTGAATGGTCAAAGAGTGTCATGAATTATAGTGCTTTTTCAGTTCTAATGTGGTCTAACAACTTGATAGCCTACTCTAACTGCAATTTACTTTAGCAAAGTAAATCACAGTTAGAGTAGGCCAATTTGAATAAATGAAACGTATGGTGGAGTGAACCCACCAAATCCTCCCACTGATCGATTGCACCTACTCTAGTGCTAGCTACTAAACTAAGCAATAGGATTTGGCCTGTAATTTTTCTCACAAAGCAAAAAGCCAGACTGCCTCATAAAGCACTATTTAGTACACCTAATGAAGGGGAACTACATATGCTTAAATTTTAAACATATTATGATGCCTTTCAGTTGAGCCATCTCTTTCTCTTTCTCAGTTCAGATTTGTAAAAACCATGATTAGAAACTGAATTAAAAGATATAGTCCTGTTTAAAAAATATTTTGGCTCATAAGCTGAACAGGACATTTTGAAAATCATCACTCCTTAAGACAACTCTTAATATTCAGAATAAATTGATGCCTAATTTCGTGCCCTCGGTATTCATTTCTTTTACATCTTCTATTTTATCATCCCACAAATCTGGGCAGTTTAAAGACCAGACAGGTGCAAATTTAGTCACACTAAATATTTGTATTATGGTCATAACTGGTTAGAGAACAACAAATTAAAGAAGACTTTCATCAAAATAAAGTATTTGGGTTTTTTGTACATCAACAACTATATTTTATAAAGAACCTGAAAGTAGAGCACGTGAGAAGGAACTACTTCCAGTCGCAAAGAGGAGTGTGAGTCGTCCCCTCAAGCACCCACAAAAGGGGGATACGAGATAGTGTATATGCTGATACCAACAGTGTCCCAATTGAAAATACAGTAGAGGAGAAAAAGAGCAGAAAAGAAGAGCAAGAGGGAGGCGAGAAAGGGGAGGAGCCAATAGTAGAGGGATGTCTGATGAGAGGTGCTGAGGAGAATTCAGAAGGTGAAAAGGAGCTAGACTGGGAGACTGGGGTGACAAAGGATGAGGGGAAAAAGAAAGAAAAGGCGATGTAGAAGGAAGAAATTCCTCTAGGATGGGGCTGGTTGGAAATGGAAGACCCCTGGACAGAAGAATGCATTAAAATGAAACTGCCCATAGAAGAAATAGACAGGAGACAACAATATCACACAGTTGGACACATAAGGATTAAGATAGGAAAGGAGGAAGAAGAGGAGAAAAGGCAAAGAAAGGAAGGATTTGTGATACAGGTAGGGGAAGTAGAACCCGTAGAATGGACAGTGTATGTCTATCCAAAGAAGGAAGATTGGGGGACGAAGGGGGCCAAACCAGCGGTGATCCCTCAGCCAGAAATGCCCACGGAGGGAGAGTGGGCTCAGCACCCCTGTTGCAGCACCATATGTCCCAATCTGAGGAGGCCCATGATAAACCCAACAGATCGCGAACAGTTTGGAGTGAACCTCCAATGGTGAAATCTTTTGTGATGCCTGAGTTAAGAGACAATTATGTTAAAGTTAAAGAAACTGAAGGACCCGTTGGTCCAACTGAAGTTGTTATTCATATTACTCCATTGTTTGAAAATAAAAAAAAGCGTTTGTGAAAAAGGACTATCTCCACTTCTTGGGGAATAAAAAGGGGAATGAGGTTTTCCCAAATTTGAACCCACTCACAGTGCAACAAGGCATCAGAACCTTGGCTGATTTAGAGGGAATATTATCTCATTAAAATGAAATTTAGAAATATGACTTCATCTATCTACAAAATAATGAATGGCAAAACCTCTGGATGTTTTGTAGGTTAGAGATTGGTATGGATATTAGGAAAAAGAAACTAACACAGATTTCACAGATGAATGAGTATGAGCATGGAGAAGCCCATTTGCTTCAGCAAATGTCAATGAAAATATTGTTAAACTTTCAATGGGTTCCCTTATGCCATGAATTAGATGGGCTGAAGGACTTCTACCCAAAGATTTTCAAATCTAGAATATTTTGAACAGTGCATTGTATAAAGAACCTTTCTGGGACCTTGCAGAACCTCTCTGTGTAATGTGTACAGATTACAAAGAAAATATTTCCTTACAGATCCTACGAAAGGAAGCAAATTATGATGTCAATTATGGCACTTACTTTTGATAGATCTTTAACAGTCTCTGTTTTTCCTGTCCCAGCTGGCCCAGCAAGGCAGCCCCCTAAATTCAGCTGCAGAGCCCCAGTGACAGTTAACCAACATCGATCTGTTAGAGGGGTAATAACCAAACGTGGAGAACAGCCCAAATATTCATAACCATAATCAAAGGAGGCATAACCTTGAATAACTCTACATGGGCTAATTTCATGCCATTCATAACGCAACTGCCTGAAATGAAAATACTTTTTAGCTGTGTAAACAACACATTCCTTTTATCAAAATTGCATATATATGAAAATCCATAATATAATTTGTTATTATTATTGTTCAATATTAATAAAAATTGGTATCAAAGTTCCTCTCCAAGGAACGGTTACACAGAGCCTGAAAGAACTGCATCACAAATACTTAAGAAAAAAAAGCAAAGCGTGCTGCTTATATACCGCCCCATAGCACTTCAAGCACTCTCTGGGCGGTTTACAAGTTAATTATGCAGGCTACACATTGCCCCCCCCCCTCAGCGAGCTGGGTACTCATTTTACCAACCTCGGAAGGATAGAAGGCTGAGTCAACCTTGAGCTGGCTACCTGGGATTGAACCCCAGGTCGTGAGCACAGTTTTGGCTGCAGTACAGCAGTTTAACCACTGCACCATGAGCAACATTTGCCAAATTTGTTACCTTAAGTACAGCATTACAGTTAAGCTTAGAGGGAATGTGTAAAAAAGGAATTATGGGTAAAAACAAAATTTTAAAAAGAGTTTTTTTAAAAAAAAGGCAAAACATGGTGGTAAGTGCCACCACATTTTCATCTTTTTTAACTCTTTTTAAAATGTTGTTTTCACTTATAATTCTTGCAGTGACTAACACGGCTACCCCTTTTACAACTACTACCTTAAAAAAGAATAGGATTTTATTACTTTAGTTTTTAGCAACGAGTGTTATTTTTGTGACTGTTTTAAGAACAAAACAAGTTTATTGTTTTGAGCAACAAGTCATTTTATTTGTTATGTTAAACACATTATATTTTGGGGTCATTTGGGAAAGATTTTTAACCATTGCTTACATTTTTTATTATTAGAAAGGCCAGAATCCTGCTGAGAATATATGCTACCTAGTTATGCTTCAGGAGAGATCACAGAATGGCTATATGCCCAATGCTATGCACATGGAATGTTGGATAAGCAGTTGTGGTTTCTGACAGATCCTGCTCTATTGAACAATGTGTGCTGCAGACTTGAGATATGGCCCCTCAGCATGACTGGTTGCACAGTCCAGCATAACTTCCACATAAATTGGAGCATAGATACTTATGGTACATGATTGCCAACAGGACACTGGCCTTGTCTAACAGGACACATGTTACTTGTCAAAAGTCATTGTGTTTCCTTCTATAGGTTGCTACCTTGTTTGCTTTAGTTTGCTTAAAATAATTTTCCTTAGTTTGATAATTTTTTTTCAGAAGGAAGGAATTAAATACATATTTCGAATATTAACACTGGAACAATAATTTTGAGGTATACCTTATCCATTCAAAATCCTCAGTGCTGCAAATCTCAAGATCAATCAGTGAATTTAGTACTTCCCTGCAGTGGATGAACAACGTAACCAGCGCTTCCAGCGTACTTTGTTTGTGGTAAGGAAGAACATCTGATGCTATCTCTGCAAGTTGTTCTATAAGGTTGATTAGATTATCACGACCTATTATCATTTCCTTCTTTGTATTAGAACTTAGTAAACATACTTCACATTCCTGAGTAAACATAATTTGACTCTAGAAATGAAAACAATGTATTAGAAGTATTAATAATTATTCAGCTGCTCAGGAAAAAAAACACACAACCATATTTCTTATATTTCCTATTTGCCATTTTCTCCCCCTTACATTCACTAGAACTTTCCTTTTTTTTTAACTTACATTGGCTGTAGCTTTTAAAAATAACAGTAACTTTCCTTGAGTACATTTTTAGAAAAACTGTCATGGACAACAGTTCCAATGAGCACTTTCTCTTTGAAAATAGTGCACTAGATACTTACTGTAAAGTCTAGTTTAGTTTCCAAGGGAAGAAACACCCAGGAAGAGTGGGCTATTCTCTTTTGCCACCTAGGCAGGGCAGGGATAACCAAAACAAAATATTTGCAAACATAGTAGACACTTGGCTCCCCTTTCCCAAGTTCTTTAGTTATTAAGCACAGGAAAAAGAAGAATAAACACAACTATAAGGGGGGAAGAAAGAACCTCAGTGCAGCATATGGGACAGGTTAATCAAAGGACCAATAAGGTCATGTAGCTAGAGCTATCGTCAGCCACTATATAGGTATGCTTTTTTTCTCACAGGCCAGAATGGTCCTTCATGTAAAGGATCTAGTGAACCATTCTTGATCTGTGGATGGCAGCTGTCCAGAAAACGTAAGATTTACCCAAGTTCTTTAAGTTCAATACAGATAGAAAAGACTGGAAGGAATAAATCCATGCAACACCCTTCTACTTTCCTTGTTCAGCCAAGCCACATCCAGTTTGTAGAAGTATGTACATGTAAAGGGTTCCAACCATGAGGCAACCTTACATAACTCTGCAATTATGCATCTTTAGAGAATACTGTAGCCCAGACAAAGCTGCTATGATGTTGTGTGCCTTAGGAGATGAGAAGTCCTATAGACCAGCAAAAGAGATATCTTGATTCACTGGAGCATAGTCATTGTAACTTTCTTTTCTAGAGAAGATGGTAGTAAGAAAACTAAAAGGGATTGACAAAAAGATCATATTCTTTTAATGTAAGTTTTTAGTAGCCCACGTATATCTATGCCTTTGCTACTGCTTAAGAGAAACTGAGGACATCTATGAAATAAGAGTGTTTACTTTAACAGAAGTGTAGGACATAAAGTAATGGTTTGTGGCCCAAATACTCAAAATTATTTGCTAATAGAGAAGGCATCAATTGAGAAATATGGTCGAGATGGCTACTAAGGAAACTACCTCAAGGTACTGAAGCTTTTAGGGAAGGCAGAGCATCTTCTCCCACCTAGTTCTACCCGAATCACCCGACAAAGCCAGCAGGGACGGCTGAGGGGCCTAACGCCAAGAGAGGCCCAGAAAGAAAGAACAAGAAACCGGGTCTTCTCAGCAGTGGCCCCTCGGCTTTGGAACAGCCTCCCGACAGAAATTCGGCTGGCACCCTTGCTGGATGTTTTTAAAGACCATTTGAAAACATGGTTTTTCAGGCAGGCTTTCCCTCCAGTCAATTAAACTGACCTCCACTTTTCTTTAATCTTTCCATCTTGGCAAGGCTTTTTATATAATTGTTAAAATTTTTATGTTTTTAAATGCTTTTAAGATGCTGTTTGTTATGTTTTTATGTATGTAAGCCGCCCCGAGTAGACCTGGTCTAGAGGGGCGGGGTATAAATCTAATTAAAGTAAAGTAAAGTAAAGTATTATGCAGATATCTGAAGGGCACTTTTGTATGGGATTTGGGACACTACACAAATATCACAGAGGGACTGATTAGGAATGCGACCAAAAAATCTATTCAAGATGAAGACGTATTGAACACTTTGCCATGTCTCAAAAGACAGCAAAAAACTGTCCCTTACATTTTAAGGTATTGACCTCAAGCCTAGATCCAAGACTGCCTGGAGGAATGCTAATATATCACAAGCTGTAGAGTGTGATATGCATTTGCATCTACACCATAAAACAAAGTCTGTACTCACCTAGCTTACGGAGGGCTTTCAGGATGCAAGAATAATAACCCCATGTTTTTCTAACAGCCTCAATGTAGGCAGGAGCCCCTTTCAAATGACAGACAGCTAGATGGGGCCATTTTAGGACTGGGTGATGAATAGTGTGTGGAAGTGTTGCAAGAAGCGGAAGATGCAATTACCTATTATCCACCAGATGAAAAAACACTAAAATCAGGGTCAGCATGACCACAGAGGAGCCATGACTATCACTGAAACCCATTCACCTCATTCTTGCAAAGGAAGAGCTGGAGAGAATGCACAGAAAATGTGTAAAAGACATGGTGCTCTGCATCTTGAGCCTCTATATCAGTGACGGCAAACCTTTTTGGGCCTGAGTGCCCAAACCAAAAAAAAACAACAGGGGTGTCAGGCCGTGGCAATGGAGGAACCAGAAGTGGTGGTAGCAGAACCAGAAGTAGCAGCATGGAGGTGCCTCCAGACCCCATTCTTGATCCACCGCCAGCACCAGCTGCTCCGGATCCTGGCCTGCCACCTATCGAAGCACCAGCACCATGGCTGCAGCCACCTCTGCAGTTTGGCTGCAGAGGGGAGAATAGCAATCCAGTGACTTATGGCTTATGTGCCCACAGAAATGGCTCTGTGTGCCAGCTGTGGCACACATGCCATAGGTTCACCATCACTTGACCCTTGCCCGGCCTGGCTAATCAAGGCAGCCAAGCTTACAACAATGGAATGGGCCACTGTGATAATCAATGGGTCTTTCCTTGAGGGCAGGTTCCCATCTACCCTCAAGGAGACACTCATTAGGCCCATAAGAAAGAAACCCAGTTTGGCGGCGGACGAAATTGGCAACTATAGGCCCGTCACCAATGTTTCTTCAGCAAAATGGTCGAGACGGTGGTGGCTGACCAGCTCCAGGCGCACTTCGATGAAACAGATGCCCTGGATCCATTTCAGTCTGGCTTCAGGCTGCGCCATGGTACAGAAACGGCATTGGACGCCCTGTGTGATGACCTCTTGAGGGAGGCTGACAGGGGCAAAATGTCTCTGCTGGTCCTCCTCAACATCTTAGCGGCCTTTGATACCATTGACCACGGTAACCTCCTGGGGAAGCTCTCTGAGCTGGGAATTGGTGGCTTGGCACTGGCCTGGCTCCATTCCTTCTTCGAGGACCGCCCCCAAAGAGTACAGCTTGGGGAGAGTGTTTTGGTCCCGTGGAGTCTCAATTGTGGGGTTCCACTGGGGTCAATTATCTCCCCAATGCTGTTTAACATCTATATGAGGCCGCTGGGTTGTTTTAAGAACAGCTGATCGGCGGTTCCAAAATGGCCACCGGGTAAATAAAATGGCCGCCCGCTGTGTTTTGCCCCGGATTCCTCGCTTACCGGGCAGCGAAAATGGCGGCCGCATGGAGGATTTTCGCTTTAAGGTGAGTTTTTTGCCCATAGGAATGCATTAAACGTGTTTTAATGCATTCCTATGGGCTTCTTTGTTCCGCATAGCGACGAATCCGTATAGCGGTGATTTTTCCGGAACGGATTATCGTCGCTATGCAGGGCACCACTGTATATTGGAGAATATTTTAATTCTGTTTTTAAATGCTTTTAGATAGTTTTGAATGTTTTCAATGTGTTCTTGATTGATTTGATTTTATTGTAAATCACCTTAAGAGACCTGATAAGCAGAAATGAGATGAAAAATACTTGAATGATAATAATAATAGTGTTATTCAAATATGGGTATATATGAATACATTGAAGTGTGCTAGTCTTTTAAAAAAACTACTGAGACCAGCAAGAGGGACCTGATAACGTCTGTGGTTGTAGACAGAAATCTGATAGAATTGGAATATTGAACTAGGAAAGTATGCTTCTACAAGTGAAAAGGAAGCCACAAACATGCCCTGATTAAGAGCTGTAGGATGACTCTCCAACACCCTTTTGCTGACATTCTAAGACAGTTGATGCTAGGGAAGGTCCTTGGGGGCAGGGGACTAGCTCTATCATTCTAATTCCTAGAAGATGCTAAAGCAAGGGCAGGTGATACTTTGATTAGACAATTAAAAATAATCTAGCTTTCAACCTATACCAGCATGCTCTTTTTTTTCATCAGGCTTGCGTAAGGATCATACCAGCTTAGTTTTTTCTAGTCTACAGAGAAATAACAGCTGCTTCCTGTCACCTGTTTTACACTTTTACCTATGTACTTTCCCAAAGAGGCCAAGGCAAAAGGGAAAGTAGAAAAAGGGAAGTTTCTTGTTTGTTTGCTTGTTTTCTTTATTACATAAACATGAATAGAGATGAGAAATGGAATCAAGGGCTGTGAAGCAGATGAGAAGAAACAGAAGCCTGTCCTGGGCAATGGCATGGAAAAGAACTGCAGTAGGAGCCAAGCATGTGTACTAGATGTGCAAAGGTTTCTTTTTTAGGGTGCAACTAAATTGACAAAGTATGCAGGAAATGTTCAGGATTGGGACAGTCTGATCCACATTATATTGACTACATAATGTACAAGTCAATGTGAATCAGCCCTGAGTCCCCCACTACCCTTTAGTTTTCCCCTCTGCCACTGGGACTTCAACTTTTTTGGAATCAAATGCATTTGCAGTGGTTCTGTGATATGCTTGCTTGAGCCAATGTTGGGGAGGGCAGAAGTGAATTAACCCAGAAAAACCCAACTTCCCAGGTGCAATTTCATTTTTCCTCCTGTGTAGTTACACCCTTAGTTAACCCCTTCTATGGCTGGGTAAAAAAAGGGACTTATTCTTCTTGGATGGATTCTTCCAGAAGAATGAGAAAACAGGTGGAAGAGAGATTATAATAAAAATGACAAATCATGCTCTCACTGAGACTTCTGGGTGCACATTTTGAAAATGTGGGGATCAATATTTCTACACTATTACAATATTTTAGTAATATGAATGATTATGGAATGTGGCCTACAAGGTCAAGTGAAGAGCAAAGATGACCCTTGAATCCTTGGAAGTTATTCACACTGCTTTAGCACAAACTATAGAGGAAATATAAGGGCACATTGAGATGATTTCTTCTAACCTAATTCTCTTCATCTGCCACATAAATGTATGATCTGTGTATATGTAGCCAAGCAATATTATATAAAGTTTTTAAGGTATGTAAATGTATTGCTTACCACAACTAGTACCACTTGTCCTGGATGGGTAAAAAACCATTCTTTAAATTCCATTTCACTCCATTCTGCAATTCCAACTGTAATAAATCTTAAATGACATCATATAGTTAGAATAAAATCAAACAACCGTTGTAAAATTATCATGACTAAAAATAACATATTTTTACAGCCTCTTAAGGAGTAAGGAGTAAATAGGACACAAATCACACAGTCTCTGGTGTGTATATATGAATACCAGGAGTATGGGAAACAAATAAGATTTTAGTTCAGGAAGGCAAATATGATTTGATAATAATAACTGAAACCTGGTGGGATGGCTCCCATGACTAGAATACAGCAATGGAAGATATAAATTGTTCAAAAAGAAAAGGGAGAATAGAAAGGTACGTGGCATTGCATATATGTAAAACATATGCAATTTTGCACAGATATATAGGAGTAGATTGGATGTCCCATTGAGAGCACCTGGATCAATCTAGTTGGGGTAAAAAACAAAAGGAACATGATAGTTGGAGTCTACTACCAACTGCCCAATCAAGGAGAGAAAGCAGATTAAACTTTTGAAAAACAAATTGCAAGGATATCAAAGAGACATGAATCATTTTCTTATTTTTATATTTTTGGATATGTTTGCACTTTTCAAATACTGAGTTTACCAAGTAATGGTCACAGATATTTACAGGATAAAAATATATTAAACAAACAAACAAACAAACAAATACTAGAATGGGAATGGATATTGATAGGCTAAGAAAACATTATGCACTGCCACACTGCTACTGGTGTCACTGTACATTAAAATTACTAGGTTAACACTTAAACTTAGCAAAGCAGGATTGCAACAACTCCCAATCCAAATGTAAACTTATTAGTACAATTAAGAAAAGAATAAAGTCTTGTGCTTTTCAATGTAACAGAATTTTTATAAAGTATACTTACTTTTTCACCATATCATACATCATACTTTCAACACTTCCTAGCCACTGTTCGACAGGGCCTCTTATACGAACACTTCTGCAAGATAGCATTTCATAGGAATAAATACGTATTTCTATTAATTTTCAAATAATTTTATATGTTTTATTTTCAAATACAGAAACAACCACAATTTTGCTCTCCTTTCCCACTATAACCTTTGGGCTTTTAATTTTAGGAAAATTAATATTAAGAAAACTAAAGAGCAATTGCATTTTTAATGAAGCAAAGATAATCTATTAATTTATTTTCATTAACATTTTATTGACTCTGCAAACTGCATATTTTACAGAACACAATGCATTCAATAGCAAGGTAAACATTCTTTTTTTTTTCATTCTACTAGATAAATTGCCATGTGAGCTTCTTGCTGTGAGCGTTTAGTTATATCAGGGTCCTTAACTAATGCTGTCAAAAAGGCCCGCAAATGTTTCTGTGTTCTTCTAGGTGCTGGCTACAGCTGTCTTCAAAGATGGATTGCCTCATCATGACCACTGTGGCCGGGAAGGGCAGTGTACTATTAGCTGTTAATATGCTGGTTTCTTCACCTGGTGGGCTGGAGAAGCAAAGCTCCTCACCTGAAGAGCTTTCTCCACTATACATTATTCCCGTTCCTAGTCCTTCTTCTGGGGCCTTGGTCCCTGTCCTCAACTTTACACTGCAGGGATTTCTTTTGTTCCTTCGAAGTGAACTTAGGACACGCTCTGATGACCAGCAGCATCACACTTGAAGCATCTTACAAGGGTGCTTGGGTCTGCGGGCTTGGCAGGCTGCTATGGATAGGAAGGTGTAGAGACAGGAGTGGCAGGGTCCTTCATTCCTACCCCTTCTTGCCTCTTTGCAGGTCATGCAAACTTGGCCTCCTTCAAACAATCCCCTCCTTTTTGAGCACTCATAGCTTGCCTAGCCCCTGGCATTTTTGTGTGTTCATGGGTTCTGTTATTCCAAATATGGTCAGCCAGCAAGGCAGTGTCTCATAGTGAGCTGTTTGTCCAACAAGGGCAAAACCAAGTCCTCAGGTAGGGCAATACAAAACTGTTCACAGATTATTGTGTTTCTTTGTTGGTCCTTTGTTTCCAGCCTGAAACCTCCATCCAGTTGTCAAAAGATCTGCATGATCATGCTATCAGAGATGAAAATATTTGGTTTGTCTGTGGACGTTACAATTTTTTTCCCAGCAGCCTTCAGCAATATCTGCCTCACTATCTCTTTAAATACAACATAGTCTTTATCTCTCCCCTTCTCATAGACTATGTCTAGTAAGGGCCCAGTCACTTCAGTTCTCAAGGTTTACAACCACTCACACTGCAGAACATTTAAGTCACAATAAAAATTTTAAAACAAAAAACCTGAAATACTGACAAAAAACACCAAGTGTCCTGATCTTCTTTGTAGACAGGTAACAAACTTCTGTCAATGAGAGCAGTATAGAGAGGTTACTGATCTGTAACTCTGGTTCTTCGAGTGGTCATCTGTGAATTCAGACTAATGGCTGAGTCTGCACCTGCACAGAGGCCTCGGAATATTCTAGAGCTAAACGTTCGCTAGGACTGTCCCCCGTACACCATGTGGTCCGCCCATCCTAGTGATTACCTCAGTTCCCCAATGCTGCTGCTGCTCAAACAGAGAAAGAGACGTGATGGACAGAGGGGAAGACAGGAAGTGTGAATTCACAGATGACCACTCAAAAAACCAGAGTTACAGGTAAGTAACCTCTCTTTCATCTTCATGGTCTCTGTGAATGCTCACTAATGGGTGACTGACAAGCTTACTTTATAGCTGGAGTGACGTCATGGCAAGACTGAAGAGAGCATTGCGCAAAATAAAACAGGACTGCACCAATGCAATTCAAATCAAGATCCCTTAGAACAGGCAAAGTGACATTGATGTCTCTTAGAGCCCTTTGATATCTTCAGCCCTTTGATATCTTCAGTGCCACGTGCCATGGAGGCTGATAGACAACAGTATTGGAATAACCAGTATGGTGTGTTTTGGCCATACTTTCCTTCACTGTAACTGGGTCAGGGATGGAAGGTGACCCAGATTCACACACCGACATAGAGCCAGCCAGGGATTTGGGGCTTGATCCAGCCGAATACTCCACTGCCTGTACCTCAGGCGAGGTATCTGCCCATGATGGAGATCTGGCGAGCAGCGGAGAAAGAGGTTGCTTTGAAACTGGTGGAATAGAGTCTTTATCAGTGTCCAACTTGATGGGGTGTTGTGCCGATGACTGCTGTACCAGATGAGTGTCTGATGAAGGTTTCTTTGATTTCTTTGATTTTGAACTAGTAGACTTTGACTTCAGTTGAGACATTGGTGTAGAGTGTGTCGTGGAACAGGATGGCTTAAGTTTAGGAAATTTAGATTTTGGTGATTGTACCGGCGATGCTGCAGCTGAAGAAGCCGGTAGCAGAGGAGTTTGTGAATTGTCCATTTTGGTTTTGATCCCACAAAAAGAACGTAGCATTTGTTGTCTCAATTTAATTGCTTGCTTCATGAAATTCTTACAATGAGGGCAGCCAGAAGGCTGATGAGCTTCTCCCAGACAGAATAAGCAAGATTTGTGTTCATCCAAAGTAGGGAGCTTGTTTGTGCAAGAAATGCACTTTTTGAAGGGGCCCGTGGGGGCCATAAAAGGCGGGAATCACAACAGGGAAGGGGAGAAAAACGGGGCAGGGGGACAAAACGATTCTACTACTTTTTTTAAAAGATAATCAAGGGAATTAATAGGATATACAAACTATTGACAATAATAATCTGACGAAAACAACCTGCCTCTTATAGCAGTGGTCCCCAACCTTGGGCCTCCAGATGTTCTTGGACTACAACTCCCAGAAGCCTTCACCACCACCTCTGCTGGCCAGGATTTCTGGGAGTTGAAGTCCAAAAACATCTGGAGGCCCAAGGTTGAGGACCACTGTCTTATAGGATGAACCGCTTTGACCGAGTGCGCTCCAGAGGTGAGACCTCAGCAGTGGAAAAAAAGGAACTGAGGTAATCACTAGGACGGGCAGACCACGTGGTGTATGGGGGGGTGGTCCTAGCGAACCTTTAGCTCTAGAATATTCCGAGGCCTCTGCATAGGCACAGACTTAACCCATTAGTGTGCATTCACAGAGACCACGAAGAAGAACACGTTCACTTCAATAAGTCTCCCTGCAAGGGAAAAAGAGGGACCACATTCTCCTTGGTTTCTCACCATAAGTGCAAGGTTGTGAGATTCACATCCCTAAGTGACAGTATTCACTACTTCCATTTTATGTAAATTCAACTATAACATGTGAATGCACTCTTAAAAGCAGGAGGGAAATCTTATAGATGTTATACTCCAAGTCATCACGAACAATCTTGTATTACAAAATGATTTTTTTTCTTCCATAGGAAACTAGAAGCATATAGAGGACCAATGAGTTCCAAAATGCTGGTTCCAATGGATCAAAAGATTACAGCCTATTTGAAAGGAACCAATGGATTGAACTGTTCAACTTAACATACAGATACTCCAAAATGTATGGGAGTAATATTCATTCTGGCAAAGGGAAACTATATACACTAAAAACTCTACTTCCTCTTGCTCTCCTAGCATTCTTTAAAAGCAGCAAAAGCAAACAAATAAACAAACAAAAGATTTATGGATCACACAAATAATTTATCTCTTAATTGAAATATGAAATTGTGCAAAGACACTAGTAGACTTTGCTACAATGAATTGGAACCCTTTTTTCTCATCATATGATGACAAACAGTGTCACTGACATTACTACTAAGATATAAAATAACTGAAAAGCATACTTTGGCAATAAAAGAATTTCCCCTTCTGCAGATCTGATCATTAAAATCATTGGCGGTCTCTGTTCCTGTGGACGTATATATAACTTCCTTATATTTGCAAAACATTTCACAAGATGAGGCTGAAACAGAGATGTGAAGCACAACAGAATTAATTAACCACACTAACATAAAAATTTAAATGAACAATATTTGTGAAACTGAATTGTTACCTGCACGGCATCATGGTTTTTATTTTCAGCTAATATTTCCAGGAGTTCAGCATTGCTTAGAAAATAAAATCTTGGGAAAATCATACGTTTAACTTCAAGATAGTCCTGCCCATAAAATGGAAATAAAATAAAATTTGATTTTAACATTAGAAGGTGAAAGCAAAACTGAAATTCAGTATCCTAGACATTAAACCCTCAGGAGTCTATTTCCTCAGCTCTTTTCTCTTCAACCCATCTTTACCATATCTTCTTGTTTTAGATTCTGTTGAAATAGAACATGATGCAGGAAGATAATTTTGGACCCTGAATTAGTGGGCAGCGGGTGTTCAGGCTTGTGCGAAGGCATTTGGACTAGTGGGGGTTGTTCGAGCTCATGTGGAACAATCAGGCAGGGGAGAGATTGAGGGGGTGTGGGCAATCTGGCTGGTAAGGGGATGATTGGGTGGGTGAGGAAGGGGGTGAACGAGAGCAAATTTTTTCACATCTGTGGAATCGATTCCAATGAATTTATTTCATGTCGACATCAAAATAAAAATATCTATGACAGAGGAGCAGAAAAACTTGCTCCCCTGGCACACTACTCCACACATGCAGATACCCCATGTGTATGTCTATATTTGAATCAGTTTTTTTAAGCAGAACCCAATAAAAGTGTTTTTTTTTACTGTAAGTGGGATCAGGCTCATGTACATCAAATAAATATAGATGCACATTTTAGTGGATTTTAAAATGTGATGGAATTAAATTACAAATTAACATATGGGAAATGGACATGGACCAAAACCAGATTCATCTGTCCATTCTTAAATGGTGTTCAGAGTACAAGCTACAGAAAAAAAGGATATAGTTTTCTACATAAAGGACTATCTTCTGGGAACAGAAGTAACTTCAAGCCAGTTTTGTAAGTTAAAAGAGCAAAATGGCTTTAGCCTGCCAATGGAAAATTTTCTAACTGCTGTCAGCTGAATCTGGAACACTAACTAGGAAATTGTGCTTGATAAAGGGATGATCTCACATTTTAAGACCTTATATAAACCAGATATCTTATTATTAAATTTGTCTTGAAATTATCAAGTCATTTCTCCAATAAATTTCAATAAATCCACAGGCCAATTTCATAATACTAACATTATCACTTTGGGGAATATCCTCTGTAATCAAAGCATCCAGTATTATTTACCTCAAGCGCTTTCTGTATTTTTTCTAGGCATGCATTGTTGCTCTGCAGAATTTCATAAACCCCAGTAGTTGTTGCTGCCTTTAAAGCATTTGGACATTCTTCTGTACGTTTCATGATGTCTTTCCATTTGTTATCAACTTGAGAGAAAAGATTTGCTTCTTCTGGAAGCTGCCTGTTTTTTATTTTTTAAAAAAAGTCATAGGAAACAATTTGCAAAGCAAAATTTCAGGCTGAGGTGTAATGTATTTGAACAGAATCCTGTTACAGGACATAATGGAGCACACAGTGCAATTCCCAGTTGCACATACAATTCTTTATTTTATGCACACATGCAAAGAGGCACCCCAGACCACCATGCATAAATGTCTATCTGGTTGCCATGGTGGGATAAGGGAGAGAAAAAGGCTGGAAAGAAGAAGTCAAAGCCGCTGTCTCCTGTTCCTTGTGGCGAGGGGGTGGGAACTGTGCACTTTCCTATCCACAGGTCAACTGAATGCACCCTTCCAAATTTCAAGAACAAAACCATATCCTTTCTAGAAAGACATTAGAAATAAGAGCTCTATTCCAGAGATGAAGAGCAAGACACCTGGGTTTTTTATCTGAATATAGTAATGTATCTATGAGGAAGCAATGAACAAAATCCTCCTCGCATTATATTGTGGAAGCTGATGACATCATATTTCAGCACTGGTAAAATTTAATATAAAAACTGAAACCTTCTTATCCCTCCCCCCTTTAAGTTCCAAGGCTTACTAGGGCTCCTTTTTGCTCTTGGGAAGCCTTTGGGAGCCTCAGGATGGTGGAGGAGCCTTTAATACCCCAAAATTGTTGATGGATCACTGATAGTGGGCCTTATCCCAGTGGTGTTCTGGCTGTGCTCTTTTTTTACTATTAAAGGCTCCTCCCTGTCCCAAAGCTTCCAAAGACTTTCACAAGGCAAAAGAGAGCCTTAGAGCCTTGAAAAGTGAAAGCGGGAGGGGAAATAGGAAGCTTTCAGTTAATTTACATTAAATTTTACTGAACTTGGATGATGATTGTGACAACCCCAGACCTACTGGGATATGCCACAGTTTCACTAAGCTGCCACCAACCATTCCCTATAAGAAGTCACACAGACCAGGGATGGATTTTTAACAAATAAAGGAATAGGGTTTATTTAAATAACACACAGGGAAAATAAAATGATCAAGTGAATAAGATACAGTAACGTGGCTTAGTCTCAATCATACATACACCAGTTTGGTTCACACATAACACCTTTAAATAAAGCACAGACCCTGAACCTATCAGTTCTGGCTAACCATACAGACACCTGAACCTATCAGGTTGGTACTGACTGACACACAGTAGTACCCTGTCTGACACACAGACTCCCACACCAGCTTCTTCTCTCAGCTCTAGCCCCTCCTCCTGATGTCCCGCCTTCCACTCCCCATAGGATGGAACTTTCCCTCCAAACCCATGACAGACAGGTAACATCAGTGCTGTATGTAACACCTCCCCTCTTTATAAGTTGTTTTGTAGGGGGAAAGCTAAGGTGCTTTTCTCCAAAAAACAACCTGGATCCAAAACATACAAAAACAGTTATACATTAACATACAATACCATACTTACTTATACTTACACTCTAAGTGAAACATATCTATTAGGCATTTAAACATTTACCATTTACAATACATCAAGTTACCTTTATTCATACAAACCAGGCATATTTAATAACCAGATACATTTAACCTTTGGTCACCAAAATATATACATAGTCCATGTTCTTTCGCCGTCTTCATTCTTCGGGTCTTCTTGACAAGGCGTCAGCAACACAGTTCACTGACCCTCTGACCACCTTCACTTCAAAGTCATAGTCTTGCAGGTTTAAAGCCCACCTCATAAGTTTACTATTGTGGGTTTTCATTGTCGTTAACCATTGCAGTGGTGAATGGTCAGTGCACAGAATAAAATGTCTTCCCCAGATGTAAGGCTTGGCCTTCTGGATCGCGTAGACTATGGCCAGGCACTCCTTTTCCACGGTTGCCAAATGTCTCTCACCTTTCTGGAGCTTCCTACTCAGGTAGGACACTGGATGCTGGTCACCATTCCCATCCTCCTGGCACAGAACTGCTCCTACCCCGCTGTTAGACGCATCGGTGTAGATGATGAACTCCCGGTCGAAGTCTGGAGCACGCAGCACTGGATAATTGATGAGCGCCTCCTTCAACCTCCGGAACGCCGCCTCACAGTTGCTGGTCCACGGGATGCGGTCATCAGCCTTCTTCCTCGTCAGATCGGTCAGCGGAGCCGCAATCTCGCTAAACCTCGGGATGAACTTTCTGTAGTAGCCCACCAACCCAAGAAATGATTTGACTTTTTTCTTGGTGTTGGGTCTAGGCCAATCACGAACAGCTTCTATTTTGGCCTCCAGGGGTTTTATCACTCCTCCCCCTACCACGTGACCCAAGTCTTTTATTTCTGGGATACCCAGCTGCAGTCTGTTCTCTCTGCAGAGCCTAGGCCAAAGCACTTCCTCCCCTGGGTCAAAGTGCCTCTCCCTGCCTTCCTGGTCATCCCAAGCTTTCTTTCTGACCTTTTGAGCTGGCAGGGTCTCTGCTGCTAGCTCTAGGTTTCTCCTTAGGTCATTCATCAAGGTGTCTATGTATGACACAACGTCTTGTGGGTCATCCTGGGTGATCTGCTCCCAATTTTGTTTGATCAAATCAAGGG